GTAAAAAATATTTTACCAGTTCAGATGGTAGTGGTCTACCTAAAATACTTTCTTTAATTTCAGTTGGAGAGCTTACTCTATTTATTTTCCTTGAAAACATCACTACTGCTGAACAGTGTTGGTACACTGTTCTTTATGAGATTTTATCTCAGAGCTGCTACACAAAGCTTCCTTGCAGATTCACTTCTTATTCTGTTTGTTCTCAACACAGTATACGGTTACAAAAATTGCATTGCTCTTTGATCTAGCATGTTAACTATTTGCAATATAAAAATTACAAAATACTTTGTTAGGCAAGGAATATGTTCTGCTTTTCTCCTTTGCCTATATTCTATCATGGTTGTCCATAAAATATGTGTATATGCTCTTCATACATTCTTTCAGTTCCCCATAATATCACCGAAGCTTTAACAGAGAACAGTTGTATAGTTGGAGGACACGTAATAGGCTACTAGAAGAAATATTTACATCTGGCATGATCAAAGCTTTTGGACTATATGAATGTGTATGTGGGAGGTCTAATTTTTATGTGGGCGGATTCACAAAGACCAAAACAGTGCAGTACTCAACCCCTTTCCCTTTATGAAAATTCAATTCCTCAAAATGAAAAAAGTATGTAGTACCTGATTCTTATCTTTATTTTTCATTTAGATGAGTAGTATTAACTATTCTGCTTGTAACTGCTTGTTTTAAGTCATAGAGAATTTTTTTGGTATTTCAACCCCTGTAGTGGCTTATTTAGTAAGATGCTTATCGTGCTTGTGATGTTTTTGCATGTTGGAACATATGCACATTTTCAAATTTAAAAAGCTCATATTTTTAACACAATTTTTATAGTCTGCAGAACTGCTGTGGAAGGAGCTCTGCTGTATTTTTGCTTTCTAGCACTAGCTACATCTTCAGGTTTGGTTTTTGCAGGTTTAGTTCTTCTGGCAGTAATCAGCTGTGAGCTATTTGAATATTTTTTTTATTCAGTTACTTTAAATAGTTACATTATGAAAGGCTATTAACACTCACTCATTTAAATAATCTCAGCATTTTGTTTGCGAGGCTCTGATGGAGACATTTGGGATGATGGCTGACCTGGGCTGGCAGCTTGCTGAACGGGGAGGTATCGCTCTCCCTTCGGCTTCTTTCCTTCCTCCTGTCCTGTGATCTTCCCTTCCCCGGCCCCCAGCTACACCAATTCTGCCTGCAGGGTAACCAGCTCAGCTTGCCAGCCCAGCAGAAGAGCCCACACGCCAGAGCTGCGTGCCAAATGCCTTTTGTGCTCTTCTGAGCCTTCATTTACCAGGTGATCAGCAGAGTACCTGAGCTGGCTCCCAGGTAAGCATCAGGGGCCTGGGGGGCTGTGGTGAAAGGGAAGCCACCTGCCCTTTTTGCCCCTGGTGAGCTTGCTCAGAGCACTCTCTGAAGTCACAGCGTGACTCGCGAACACACCATCGTGTGTAATATATGGCTGCTTGAAAATCAGCCCTGCCTGTGCAGGCAGATGATGATGTGAGGAGCACTTCTTGTAAACAGTGAAGACTATGCATTTCTTTTGAGAAGACACACATCTTTTGTGGGTATCTTCAGAGATTCTGTGCATGCTTACAGCATCCCTTGCAGTTACTTTTAGAGCTAGGGGTCATCAAAGCAATAAAACATTTTCCCCCTGTGAAAGTGTTTTTTACCTATTAAATCATAGGTACCTATGTAACTTTGCTTGCTGTTACCCACTGGCATTACTCAGCACTCCAGGCTTAGGAGAGTTAATACACTTCTTTTGGATATATGCTATATCTCTTCATTATCCTTGTAGCATTGACAGTCCACAAATCTAATCGTGAACTATTCTAGCATCAAAGTTGTGTAAGCTGGTATCAAAGTCAGTTAATATTCAGGGTGTCTGTAAGTAACAGCAGCTGAGGTAGCATTTCAGAAATCATGGAGTCATTCCCAATACTCTGCAGGAGTGGGATGGAATGAGCGGGTGGAAGTGAAAATTCTTCATTTGCCAGACATTGGTATTGTCGAGTCTGTGAACACGTGAAGTACCAAGATGCTGTTATGCTAGCTTCTCTAACACAAAGCCCTTGCAGGTAGGGAGACTTAGCCAGATTTTGGAACCCTAAGTTTCAGTGTTATCAGAGTGATGTGGCTTTGTTTTCTCTGGTCTCAACACTAGAACTGACACACAAGTTTTGTTGATCAGTTAAATGCCATCTGCAGTTCACAGAAAGGTGGTCAGTGTGTTCAGGATCTTTATGTTTTTCCTGAGTGCTACACATCTTTTGCATGTTTTCCCAGTATTATTTTCTCTTTTTTAAAGAAATAGCAACAAAAAAGAACTTGCCATTTCCTTTGTTGCAACTTGTAGGATTCTCTACTAGACTTCTATACTCTGTGACCACAAAACTGCCTTTTCTTCTGTGTCATCCTGTTGAAAAACTGCTAACAAGCAAGTTTAGTCCAAGCAGAACCTCAGCAATACTTGTTTTGCTACCTCTTGGTAGTTTTCAGCATGGTCACGTAATACCACAATTAGAGGCTCCAATCTATTTCTTGATGCATTTCTCAGCAGTTCAGCATTCTCATTCACAAAGAGTGCATCACTGTATGTATTTATACTTCAGAAGACTAAATGTTAAAAAGGCTTCAGAACTGGCAGTGCTATCTATAATTGGTCCTCCAAAGCGACAGCTAACTCAGCAATGGGAAGTATCATGTTTGGTTTCTAGCTCCCAGCATCACTTAATTTGCTAAATATTCAAATACAAATAAAGTGTCATAAGGAAGAGGCCTAATATCAATACTTATTGTAGTCATTCAGGAATCATCATAAAACTCAAAAATATCATCATAATTCAAAAGGGCTGAGTTTAAAATATTGCATTTTGTAAGCATTCGTAACCAGGATGCTTGTTTCAGGCTCAGAACACCACACCATTTTAATCTCTTTTTTTTTCATCTCTGAAAGTAGCCAGTATTGCTGAGGTCCCTACAGCACTTGAATGAAACTGTTTCCTATCTAAGCCTAAGCAAGCCAAAACAAAGAAGACAACCATTGTGTCCATTATTTAAAGTATCAGACTGGTACCAAATGGAGCACAATAACAGGGAAAACAAAGGTTTAAAAAAAAAAAAAAACAAAACAAAAAACAACTCAAGCAAACAAACACACACCCCACACCAGAAAAACGAACAAACAAAAATCCCCAACAAATTCCTGCAAAGGTGTGTCAGCAAAAACAATATCTAAAAACCTCAACACCTAAAATAAATAGGATCAAAATGTTGCACTACACCACTGTTCAAGCACTTTCTTACAGGAAAAAACTCAGGGGTTTCCTGATAATGTGATAATTCCTGACATGAAGAAAACAGATTTGAATGTTTGATTTTACTGTCTACCAGAGACAAACTGTGTATGTAACATTATTAGTGTCACTAAGAGATTGACTGCCTGCCTTCCTGTTGCTTGTTCAAGGAGATTTCCATTTACCCTCATCTAACTCCAAGATAAAGAAGGGACCATCTGTTCTTTCTCCTTCACTCCCTTCCTTATTGTGATCCTTTGTCCTCATCATCTCAAATACTAATTCATTCTCCCCACTGTCCTCAGTACATTGCCTGGTCTGTCAAGTGTGTGTACTCATCTTTCCATCGCTCTGTCGTGCCCTTAGATGTTTCCTTATTCTTTAGCATGTGTATTTGCCTAATCCTGGTGTTTTAATGTGAGTTTCTCTGCTGTGCCAACATACCCCAGAAAACCTGCAGCTGGCCTGAGGCCTCAGGAGGGGTTACAGCACAGGGATCCATGCTCTAGCTCTAAATGTGGGTTGTGAGGGAGAAGTCTTGGTTGCAGTGCTGTGCCTCTTCCATGTAGGTGGTTGTTTTCTTTCAGGAGAAATGCTTAAATACAGTCACACGCAAAAAGTAAGGTGTGCCTTCCATATCTGTATGGATTTTTACCAAATTCTGACTCTGCTGTGTTGTCTGCTCCCAAATTACAGCCTTCAAGAATGGCATGTCCTTATGTACCGCTGCTTACACCATTCAGTTAACATTTTTCAGTTTGCTGGTGACTATAGACATGGATTAATTTTGCCAAAATCCTTTTTACAGTAATAGGGATTTTAAAGAGGCTTGTCCACTAGCTCTTCTCTTCAGGTCCTCTTCCTGTACCCCTTTTAAAAAGGAAAAGAAATTGCATTAACGTTACAAGTGGAGAAACTCCTACCTGTGGACACACAGGACTTGTGGCATTTTTATGTACTCTGTTATCAAAGGCAGCCCTAGGACCCAGAGAGTTAAATCAGCATCTCCCCAAATGGAGAGCAGTGAGGAAGTTCAGGGAAGAAATATGGGGAAGATGATAGCTTTGTGTGCAGCACTGGCATGATGCCAGAACCTGTATAAATATAGCTCTGTGGTGGGGTCATAAACAGTGTCTGCCTTTCCCTTCTCAAACATCTTTGCTAAGTCTGTCTTCGTGCCTGATCTCTCTTACATGTATGTGTGTATATGTATATCTTATTATATATAAAGAGATTACACACCAAATAATTACTCATCTTATATCCCAGCCCTTTTAAAACATATCATGTGTTGTAGGTTTTGAGTTCCAGTGAAAACGTTACATGAGATCTAAGGCATAGCTGTTGTTTGGCAAAAATAGTCACCCTGTAATAGTGACAGGACTATGTGGAGATGTTTCTAAGAGACATATCTGTATATTTAAATCCAGATTAATAAATGTCACTACATAGGCAGGAGAGAAAAAAAGATTAAGCAACAGCATTTTCAGTGTCTTCATGTATTATTCTGGAATTGAGGGAAGACCCCAAGTGGCACAGAAGTAAACATCCATCTGATTTATTTACAGTATAATTTATCATTCTGCATGTGTTTCTGTAAGTTTGGCATCTGTTTTCAAGAAATCGTTTTTGTGCTGATTTTATTTGAAAATGTTTGCAGTCTTGCTCTATATTCTTACACGTATTTTCTCTTGACAGAGTTTGCATTTAGGATAGTGAATGCTCCAATGGCCTTGGATTTAGCCTTTGGCATAGTGTGTGAGCTGCTTCAGCGGTGGGGGGAGATCCATGCCGGTGTCCCAGTCCTGCTGCAGTGGCTTTTGGGAGACAGCGACCTGCAAAGAGATGGGGAGACTTCTGCCCTGGTAATTTTAACAAGCAGTTGCTCTAGCATGTTAGCAGCACTATAGTTCTGCAGTCTTGTGGTAGGAATAGAATTAAATGTCGCATCTGATGAAACCTGATAATTGCTACTGCAGTATTGATTTACAGTCTTTCAAAGCGTTCACATGGATATTATTTAGAATGAAAAGAGTTTTATGTCAATTTCCTGGTAATGCCAGCATAAAATTAAAGAGATCAATAAGCAAACATTGAAATAAATCAAGAGTTACTTCACAAGGCATTGTTGGCTGAAACATTTTGAGGCTGTAATGTAATTACATATTCAGTATTATTGCAGATGATGGCTTCTCCTGAATTTAAACTGCTGTTGGGGGTGCCAGGCACATCTGGGCATTCAAGACCAGTGTTCTACTAATGCTGGCTTTCCCAAAGATGGCATTTAAATATTTGGTAACTTTATGCCATCATCCATGTGACTGGTTCTGCACAACACATGAAACAGTCTTGCTTACATCAGTCATTGACTTCAGGATTGTTTCTGTAAAGCTTTGCCACACTGGTTCTGTGAAAGCTGTTACTGTATAAACGCACCGTGTTTTTTTTGTCTTGAAAAGACTGTAAACGTCACAATGATGCTGGAAGGTAAACCGGAAGGAGCAGGAACAACTACATCTTGGAGAAGTTTGTTGGCAATTAATATGACCCATGAAATATCTCATGAATCTTAAGTCTGTAGTTTAGTTAGTTTAGTTAATTTAGTTAATTTAGTTAATTTAGTTTGGGTGTGCATTTCTGATGTTTCACTGACTGATGCAATTTTTATTTAATCCAGTCAAAATGCTCCATGATATAGCAAATTACCATACTGCTTACAGAGGTCTTTGTGAAATATAATACTGTTTCATAGGGGAAAGCAAGCACATGTGAAGGATTAGGGCTGCTATTTACTTCCACTATTTCCCAAGACTTGTGCCATAACTGCCTGATCTTTGAAGGTAAAATTTCTTTGGCAAAGTAGGAACTTTCTTACTGTGCTTTCCCAAACCTTTAAAAAAAGGCATATGAATGTTTACTATGTTTTTTTAATATAAAAAGCTGTTCTATGACAGCCTCTGTTGTCATAATTTCTATATATATCCTTTTTCATATCTTTTGTGATTTTCTTGTTGTTATCAAACCACAAGTCATTTTCTAATCACTGTTGGTTTTCTTTTTGTTAAGGAAGATGATGATTCCCTGTTTGATAAAGGGGAAGTGAATTTTTGGGCAGAGACGCTGACTCTTGTGAGACAACTGAGTAAGCACCTTTTACATCTTGTATCAGTGACTCACCTCACCTTACCAGATCATGGGGAACTTAATCATCTGTCAAGAATAGCACTGGACCAAGCCCACTGCATTGAACACCTTCTTGGAGCTCTACCTCCAGTTCCAGAGTTTTCCAGAACTCCAGAATTCACAAGATTGGCTATTCAAAAAGAGAGAATAACAGTCTGTCTTAAAATATTAAATCTGCTGAAGCCTGATGACACTTGCAAAAATGAAAATCTGGAAAAGTAAATTGCTAAAACTTCATCCTTGGAAAGCTGCACACATTACTAGATGGTCAGGGTGACTGTATTCTAGGAATGTTCAAGGAATTAGGGATTGCTGTGATGACTTCAGGAAACCTGCAGTACCTTCACTATTCAGGGTAGAGCTACATTTTTTGTATTGATTAAGTGTGCATTGATTTCTTTTTTAATGGGACGTGCAGTGGAAGACTTTTCCTTTTAAATGCATGTTAATTTCATTCAGTTGAGCATTGTTTATTACAGCTACTGTAGGAAGTAAAGCAGCTAAACTTAGTATTTTCCATTCATCCAGGTGCAGGCCACCTGTAGTTCTGTTATGTTTTGTTCCACATTTTTACCTCCTGTATCTTAATACCAAGAAAATGTTTGGGTTTTTGTCTCATTTCAAGATGTAGCATGTGACTTAGGAAATTAACATGCTTTTAAAAAAATTTAAAGTGTTTCTAATAGAAAAACAAACTGTGACTTCTTTGTTTATGGGAATTTTTAAAGTATATTTTAAATTTTATTGCATTTTCCTCTGGAGGAAGACAAGGATTTTCACTTTGGTAGTAACCTTGTTTTGCACATTGAAACAGCATTAGTTAGATTTCTGCATGCCTCTTTGAAATCAAATAACTACTTTCATAAAATGGCTCGAAAATGAAGACTTGCTGTGGTTCAAAACGAAGCAGCTGTTCCCTTGCAAACGAAACAGTTTCATCTTTACTTCAGACAACTTGCTCTGCAAAAAGTGAGGTCCTGCCGTGGAGTGTGAGGGCCCTCGGAAGGGTACCAGGGGTGTTTGCGCTGCAGCCCTCGCTTTTGGGAGATGCTCTCACCAGGTGGGGCAGCTGTAGGGACTGTTCCGCGTGCTCCGGGGTCTTGCTGTGTCTAAAACAACAAAAAAAGCTTGTTGCGCATTGAATGGGTTTTTCCTGCAAACTGGAGTTGGGTTGCGATATGAAAATGAGACATCAAAAATAAACAGTGATGCGAAAAGGTTGTGTCACCTTCCCATAGCCGAGGGCTGCGACCCGAGGTGTGGCTGGGCCCGCCACAACACGCATGTGCGGCCCTGGACCGATCATTTCGGTGTCCTTGGAAGAAGAACATGTCCAGTGAACGCCTGGCTGCTTTCAGCCGCCTCAGCGGTGGTGTCTGAGGGCAGTTTAGCCCCAAATCTCGGTGACTCCCGGGTACTGCCCCTGCGCTCGTCCCGCGGCCGGGCCCGCCCACAGCTCCGCCTGCTGCGCCGCGCGGCCGCCAGGTGGCGCCACAGCACCGCCGCGCACGGGCCGGGCCCGCGCTCCCGCCGGGACGGGATCGGGATCGGGATCGGGATCGGGATCGGGATCGGGATCGGGCCGGCGCTGCTCGCAGTGCTGGGTGCTGCCGTGCCCCTTAGTCGATCTCTGCTCTCTCGAGTTTAAGCATTTTGCTGTAAATAGAGCTAAGCTGCCGAGTTGGGTCCAGTGCACATCTGAGCACTGCACAAAGCCACCACTTCAAAAAACCCAACAAACAGAACGTAGGAATAAAAGTTTAGTATCTGCTCTAAGTTTCCAGGATTCAGGGTTACTTATATAATTTATGGGGAAACTTGAGGCTTCAATATGCAAAAGAGAAATGTTGGAATCTGAAATTATGTTTCACAGAATGTTTGCTATCCAACTTAATGAGCCATGCTGTGAGTTAGGCTAAAAATTAATTTGTATGCATCTGGTTTGAGCTCCTGCAGAAAGAATAGCCCAGATTGTGTCTGGAAGTCACTCTTAAAAAAATAGTCAAGACCTGTACAATTAATTAACAGCTGCTGATTCTGCCACATCTTTCCATCATTCCTGAACTAGTGTGGCAACAGCTTATGTTGTAGGAGACAAAAAGAACTTTGTATGTATCAAAATCACTGTAAAGTTCTGAGACTATGCTCATGTCAGTGGGTAGTACAAAACTATCTAGTAACATTGGCTTCTTTTTAAATTGGGTAGAATTTAAGACGCATATTCATATATATTTGATCCTGGCAAATCAATAAATGCAGACAGGTGACAGCACAGTAATAGACCCACAGTGACCGTAAAACTTGGTAAAGCCTTGAGGACTTGGTTAATCAGTTACCAAACAGCTCGAAAACTCGGTCTTCCTTATTGCGGTTTTAAGATCCAACTGGAACCTCTGTCATCCCGCTTGAGTTTATAAGAGAGCAAATAAGAATTATATCAGTGCACATACATTTCACCACACGGTGCTGATGATGGGTTACTGTGTAACTACTCAATGAAGAACCTTTAGACCCCCGGGGAGCGATTGCAGGTGACAGTTAGCAAAACCTGATGCCAGAGCACTTATCGGCGTGTGTTTGATCAAAGTCAGTTTATCAAAGTATTCCTCCCAATGGCGTTGACATATTGATCCGTGCATGATTGTCACAGTAAACTGTTCCCTCGGTTGGCCGGCGGGCAGGATCAGCTCCGAGGTGACGTTTCCATAGCAGAGTTGCGTGGGAGGAGGAAGACTTTGAACTCGGGTCAGTGCGGAGGCGACTCCGACCGGCCCCGGAGAAGGTTATGGGAAGCGAAACGCGTTATGGCTGCAGCCCCGCGCTCCGGCGGCTCCCGGTGTGCGGGGCAGCGCCTGTCGCCGGGACGGGAGCTGTGGCCCCGCGGGGCGGGAGGAGGGAAGGAGCCGGAACGTGGGACGTGTTCCGGCCCCGCTGGGCGCGGAGCCGGTGGCCGCTGGGGGGCGGCAGGTCCCCGCCGGCCGCGCGGCAGCGGGCGGGGCCGGGCACGGGGCCGGAGCCCGTCCGGCCGAGTCCGGCAGCGCTCGCCCAGCGGGGAACGGGCCCCCGGGGACTGCCGGGACACGGGAGGGAGCGAGCTTTGGGCTTTCCGCCCCCCAGCTCCTCGTCCTCCCCGGGAGATCTCGCTCCCCGTTTCCGGGCTCGCCCGGCCGTGGGTGACGGCTCACGGGCGGTGGCAGGGTCCGGGCGGGGTCCCGCCTGCAGCCTCCCTCCCGCCGCGGCGTGGGAGGCGGAGGACGAGGGGAGGAAGCAGAGGAGCGCATGAGCCGCTGGGCAGCGGGGGGCGAGGGCGACACCCGGGGCGAGGGGCTCTGGTGACACCCCCGCCCCCCAGCCCGAGGTTCCTTTCCTTTGCAAATGTGTTTGCACAGCGCCGCGCTCCTGCTGACGTGGTCGGGTTTGCTCCCTTGGAGTGCGCGGGACTGCCATCCCGGCTCGGAAGCCAAAGAGGATCAAACGCCTCTGCTGGCTTTAGCAGCCATAAAACTTTACACGTCCGTCCGCCTCTGTTCTCCTTCCCATTTGTCCCGGGGCCGAGCAAACGCGGGAGGGCACGGGGGTGCTGAGGTGCCGCCGCCGCCGTTCCCACGTCGTGTTTGCGCGGCCTTATCGGCGCGGGGGAGGGCGGGGGGGGTTTGCACAGCGGCTCCCGGCCCGCCTCGGCCGGCGGCTGGCTCGGTCCCGGGAGGGCGCCTCGCCGCGGGGACCGGCCGCTGCCACCGCCAGCGGTCCGGCGGTGGGGGCACCTGGGGCGGGGGCCGGGGGACTCGATGGGTCTCACAGGACCTGGCGGGGATGAGTAAGGAAGGGGCCGAACGTGGAAGAGAGACGTGGGAGGGGTGCGGGGCGCGGGAAGGAGATGCAGACATGGTTAGGTGGGGGTCAGGCCGCTGCGAGGATAATGCCACCTCGCCTCCGCGCCTGGCCGCCAACCTCTCCCAAACTTCAGAAACCAAGCGAGGGCCAAACCGAGGTCCCCGGAAAGAGGGGAAGCGGTGGGGCGCGCAACCCGTGCCCGGCCCCGTCCCGCCAGCCGCACCGGGGCAGCGCGGTCCCGACCTTTGTTTCAAGCAATAACGTGGCAAAAGTTTATTTTCGGCGGGGCGCGGGGAAGAAGTGTCCCCGGCGCTTCCGCGCCTCCTCCCCTCGTGCGTGGGCAGCGACAAGGTGGGGGTGTTGTGTCTTTGGTGCGAAGAGGGGCGCTCCACAGGAGCCGAGCCCGTAGTGCGCTGTGAGCGCTGCTTCAGCTGGTTCCCCGCTCCCCCCGCCTCGTCCCGCCCGCGCTGCGGGCGCAGCCCGCTCGGGGGGACCGGAGGCTCACTGCAGCACAGCCGCTCCCCACGAACCCGCCCCGCCGCCACTGCCAGCGCCCTCTCTGAGACTCGGGGCCGCCCGGCCGGCAGACCGGAGCGGGCGGGGCGGGCCCGGCGGGCGGCGCGGGGCGGGCGGAGCGGGGCACCGCCCCCGCGATCAGCGGCGGCCGCGTTTATATGGGAGCGGCGCGGGGAACCGCGGAGTTCTCGCAGTTAGCCCGCTGCTGTGCAGCCGCCGTCGCCGCCTCGGCCCGGCACCCGCCGTCCCGCCGGGAAGGAGTCGGGACCGTTTCGGATCTCAAGCAGACGGCCCTCTCCTATTTAGTCGTGGCTTTTCCAAACCCTCCGAGGAGAGCGGGATCTTTCGGTCCTTCCTGTATATCCGACCATTACAGGATCTAGAAATGTCGACGACACTTTTATCCGCCTTCTACGACATTGACTTCTTGTGCAAGGTAGGGAAGAGCGCGTTTGGCTGGGCGGGACGCGCGGTCTGCCGCTGCCGCCATGTGCAGAGCGACTCTCGGGGCTATACCGGGGCAGCGCGGCGGGGTGGGAGGCCCGTGTGTCGGTCCGGGCTCTGCGGGCGGGTCACGGTCTGACAGCCGGCCGGGGACAGCGGCTGACGCAAGGCTGCGAGCCCCGGAATGCCGCCCCATGGTCTCCCGGCGGGGCGGGCCGGTCCTGCAGCCGCGGGGGAGCCGGGCCGCCCTGCAGCCCCTGCCCGCATGTTGCGCTGCTAGGAAGAACTTTTGAAAAAAGTTGCAAATGCAGCAGAGCTGGCGCGGGGGCTTCACCCCGGCGCTGTCCTGCCCCGCCTGCGCTACCGGCAAACCCGCTCTGCGGGGCGGTCGGGCGGCGCGACCCCCGCCTCGACTCCCGCGGCGGTGGGGAGCCGTGGCCGTGGGCAGGCGGTCACCCGCAACACCCTCTCTCTCTCCCGCTGTCTCCCCCACCCCCTCCTCTCTCCCCGCCCCGGCAGACGGAGAAGTCCCTGACCAACCTCAGCAGCATGCTGGACAAGAAAGCCGTGGGTACCCCGGTGACCCCTCCCAGCTCCAGCTTCGCGCCGGGTTTCCTGCGGCGGCACTCGACCAGCAACCTGACGGCGCTGGCCGGCGGCTCCAAGTTCCCCAGCCCTACCGGCTCCAGCTCTTCTTCCACATCCTCCTCGTCGTCGTCGTCGTCCTCCTCCTCCTCGTTCGGCAATCTGAAGGAGACGGGCTCCGGCGGAGGCGGCGGCAGCAGCAGCCCCACGGCCCTGCTCAACAAGGAAAACAAGTTCCGGGACCGCTCCTTCAGCGAGAACGGCGAGCGTAGCCAGCACCTCATGCAGCAACTTCAGCAGCAGCAGCAGGCGGCCGGCAAGGGGAGCGGCTCCGGCGGCGGCGGCGGGGCCCCCATCAACTCGACGCGCTACAAGACGGAGCTGTGCCGCCCCTTCGAGGAGAGCGGCGCCTGCAAGTACGGCGAGAAGTGCCAGTTCGCTCACGGCTTCCACGAGCTGCGCAGCCTCACCCGCCACCCCAAGTACAAGACCGAGCTGTGCCGCACCTTCCACACCATCGGTTTCTGCCCCTACGGCCCGCGCTGCCACTTCATCCACAACGCCGACGAGCGCCGCCCGGCGCCCGGCGGAGGCACGGCCGCCCCCCCGCCCGCCGCCGCGGCCGGGCCGCACCACCACCCGCACCACGCGGCCCCGCACCCCGCCGGCAGCACCGGCGACCTCCGCGCCTTCGCCCCCCGCGAGCACCCGCTGGGCGGCGGCGGCTTCGGGCACCCGCGCGGCGGCGGCGAGCGGCCCAAGCTGCACCACAGCCTGAGCTTCTCCGGCTTCTCCGCCCACCATCACCACCATCACCCCCCGCACCCCCACGGCACCGCCCCGCCGCCGCCGCCGCCCGGTGGCCGCCTGGACGCCGCCCTGCTGGAGAGCCCCGGCGGTTCGCGCACGCCGCCGCCGCCCGCCTCTGCCTCCTACTGCGAGGAGCTGCTCTCGCCGCCCTGCGCCAACAACGCTTTCGCCTTCTCGGGGCAGGAGCTGGGCAGCCTCATCGCCCCCCTCGCCCTCCACACCCAGAACTTCGCCGCTGCCGCCGCCGCGGCCGCGGCCGCCGCCGCCTATTACCGCTGCCAGCAGCAGCCGCCGCCCGGCGGGGCCTGCCCGCCGCCCCCCGCCTCGCCGCCCTTCAGCTTCCAGCCCCTCCGCCGCCTCTCCGAGTCGCCCGTCTTCGACGCGCCGCCCAGCCCGCCGGACTCGCTCTCCGACCGGGAGAGTTACCTGAGCGGCTCCCTCAGCTCCGGCTCCCTCAGCGGCTCCGAGTCGCCCAGCCTGGACTCGGGCCGCCGCCTGCCCATCTTCAGCCGCCTCTCCATCTCCGACGACTGAGGCGGGACGGGGCGGCGGCCGGGGGGGCCCCGCGGCGGCCCTGCAAGTAAGTTACGGAACGAAGAAAGCGAAACCTCTCCTTCCTCTCTATTTTTGGTTGGTTTTATTTTATATATCTATCTATCTATACACCGAGAGCTGAACAAAACGAGAAACAAAGCATTTTGCAAAGGGCAAATGACACGAACTGAACAAACCTATTTTTGTAGAGAGACCTTGGAAGAAGGGGATTTTTGTTTCGGGGTTTTTTTGTTGTTCTTTGGAGACAAGTTATGATACGCACCAGCAGCAGCCATTCCATCTGTGTTCGAAAAAAAAAAACAAAACAGCATTAGAAAACACAGCACCAGAAAGCAACAAACAATCCGGGGAGCGCCGGTTCGCCAGCCCAGCTCCTCCAATCCTGCAGACACACAGAAAAAAGTTACAAACTAGTTTGTCTTTCAATCGAGTTCAAATAAAAACACAGAACATACTAAACCTATAAGCTTTTTTTTTAGGGAAAAAAAAAAAGAAAAATCCAACATCCTGCCAAGAATATGCCTTGATAACAACCTTCTTTTTTATATATATATCTATATATTATTATTATAACAAATGCTAAAACCTTCATTCCAAAGTTTAATATTGGTTCCATTGCCACCACTTAGTGGATGTTTGGCTTTTAGAACAATTTTTTGTTGTTGCTTTATTTGGAAGCACTCAACTGAGTTTAGTTTGTAATTGTTGGAGAATAACTGCTGATTTTTTTAAATTTTTTTTTTAGCTGTTTGAGTTGATTGCATGTATGAGTCACTGCACACAACTCAATATGAAACTATTTAACTTATTTATTATCTTGTGAAAAGTATACATTGGTAATTTGTTCATACTGTATTTATCGGGTATGATGAAAAGCAATAGATATATATTCTTTTATTATGTTTAAATTATGATTTTCATTATTAATCGGCAAAATGTGGAGTGTGTTCTTTTCACAGTAATATATGCCTTTTTGTAACTTTCACTTGGTTATTTTATTGTAAATGAGTAAAATTCTTAATTTAAGAGATGGTATGTAATATTTATTTCATTAATTTCTTTCTTTGTTTACGTAAATCTGAAAGATTGCATGGTTTCTTTATAGAAATCGGTCTCGATGCTGTGGAAGTAGTTTGCGGAATTTCTATGGGTTTTTTTAGAATGTAAATGGTTGTAGCCCGTCCGAGTTAAAAAATGAGAGAAAAAAAGAAAAAAAAAGGACTGACTTAGCAATCAGACTTCAAAGTGGCAAATCTAATTCAGACTTGTTAAAAATAACCAAAAAGTATTTTTGTTGCCTAACTTCACGAATCACACTGTGATATAGTCTCAAAGTATGTAGCAATAATTGGGGGTCCCAGTATTATGTCTCACAGTGCCTTCTTGAGGGTCCATGCTTGCCTTAAATATCTCTCAACCAAATAAGTATTTTTCCTAATGCTTGAGATAATTTGAATGTAGGGATGGGTTTTAAGTACAGCAAAATTTCACCACGCTATTTTATAAGAACAGAGGCCATCTTTGGATCTGAAACTTTCTATAATACAGGAACATATCTTGTTTATTGAATTCCAAAACCTGTAATTTTTTTTTTTCCTTATGTAGAAAGTTGGGAGTTTTCCAAAAGTTTCCTGGACGGTGGATGAATGAGCAGTAGCTTAGTTTTGTTTGTACATAGGTACAGATTGAGCACTATGTACTCTTTTGGACTACTTTAACAGAAGTATGTTTTGAATGTAACTAAAGGATAAGTCAACTTGAGTTGTAATATATTTTTCGGGAGTCAGTTCACTACAGATTATGTGAGACTGTAAACTTTGTACTGTAAATGTTTTGTAGTTCTCCCAATAAAATTTTTTGGAAAAAAAAAATCAACAACCCCAGTAACCCTTAAAAGTGCTGAAGCCCTGGCTGCCAGGCAGGAGTATTTCTTGCTAAACACCACCACCCCCCAATCACAGATATGTCTAGCTACAGATTAACCAGTTTGCACTGCCCCTCCAGGCCGCTCCTGCAGCCCTTGCTGGTCGCTGGCCAAAGTTAATAAACGCTTCCAGAAGGTTCGGGAATGTCAGCGGTGTACTGTATCCTGCTTTTCTTTTTTCTTCTTTTTTTTTTTTAATGTTTTCTTATTTTTAAGAGGATGCAGAACCAAGCCTCGGCTGCTTCTAGTGTAACAGCTGGAGTGGAAAAATCTAGTAGTGGCATTTATCAATCACATCTCTTATGGGGCTATGTGAATGTGCCATTAGCTTTCCTGCCTTGTTTGGGGTAAGGAGGAAATGGCAGTTTGGGTAATAAAAAAGCATAATTAAGGTTTACCCTTTGTCCCAAAAGCTTTGTTCCTCTTCACTCACAGGAATGCGGACTTCTGCCTCAATGCTCCCATCACCCAGCTGAGGGCATATCTGTGTTAATCGGGCTAGCATTAAATGTGCTAATCAGTTTTCAGGGCTTGGGTTTTAAACAAATTACCTTTTCGAGGCTGTATTTATATAACTAAATACTTGGCAGCCTGGGGACTGTGTAAGTATTAATACTGGAAGAATTTTAGCTAGTATCTCTACAGTTTGGCACCCTATTCCAATCAGTCCCTTAAACTTTTAAGTCATGATTTCTACCAGCTTACTTTTGTTCTTTTGTCATACTAATAATAAATGTTGTTAACATTATGGCATTTCTGTGCTGCCTGGGCCGCCACAGCACTTTCTATAAATACAAGATAGAATGTAATACCAGTGCCATATGTTCGTGTAACAAACCTTGGTCTGACACTTAGTTTAAAATTAAAACAAACGTAAGCAATGTATGACAACACAACCCAGCTACAGCAATCACCTTTTTTTTTTTTTTAATGGATACAGTCTGACATTTTGGCTTAGAATTGCTCCCTTTGATTCCCAGACTAATTTCTGGTGAAACTTTTTGTTGCTGTCTTACAGTGGCACTGAGCTTTGATGGGTCCTTCCCCAGGCATCCCTGGTACAGATGCTTTGGCTGCAAGGAGCAGGCCCATGCCAATGTTTTGGAGGAACAGAGAGTGGCTGTTGGTTTGACCGGTGTCTAAGTTGTCTTAACTCACTTTTGGGATTTTGAAATTAATTTTCACACTAAAACTGCATTTATAAGGAGTGCATGCCTCATTTAATTTCAGATTTTCTTTCTTTAGGTACAGTTTTTGCTTCTCTCACTTGCCCACCCATTCCCTTGAGCCTGCCTTTTTCTTGCCACGGTAGATAAGGACCTTATTTATTTTCTATATTTCCCTTATCTGGGACAGCTGTACTCGCAACAGTGCAGTACTTCCATCTTCCCTGTGATTTTCTGTTTGAACGGGATCTTGGTGAGGGTGCTGGGCTTGGCTTTGGTGTCTCCTGGCTGGAAGAGGAGCTCTGGAAGCTTTAGAGCAGCTGCCCCACATGAATCACAGCCGTGCTGGTGTCAAGGCCAGTGTTCTGTGTGTTAAAAAGTTGCTGCCAGGACAGGAGGGGTGATGGCCCAGCGGTGTCTCCCAGCTGGCTGCTGGCATGCCAGTGTGTGGGGACAGCTGGGACCAAGCTTCTCTCTGCCCAAGTGACACCCTGTGCTGCACCCTGCTCTGTTTGTATCTCCAAGTGTGCTGCAGCCTGGCCCGTTGCAGTTCCGCTGGTCAGAAATCCAGGAGTCCTTGAACTGGGAAGATAAAGCATCTGTTTCTTGTGCTGCACAATCAAGTGTTAACCTTTAAACCGGTGACTTATGTTGTTGACTTAAGCAAATGTTCTCTTGCTTTCATTTCAAAATTCAGCAAAGCGTGTAAAGCTGGTCAGGCCATTCAGAACTTTCTGATAATAATTTGCAATAAATTGATAAATACTGTGTAAAAAAAATAAACTGTTTTTTTTTTCAAGAGCTTTGTGTTAAAAAGGAACTCTGAGGTTTCTGCTGTTGCCCATCAGAGTTGTGATACATCTCTTAGTAGCTGGAGCACTTGAAATGACTTTAAAGATCTGGAAAATGGGGACTTTACTAATCATTGGTTAGGACTGAGGTTTTATTTTATAGTCTGAAATAAATTGTATCAGAGTCTTAAAGTGGTAGAAATGGATGTAATGGTATAGGTCTCAAAATAGGGATTGATTTAAAATGGTTTGATATGATCATTAGGGGATTTTCAAGTGTTTTGAATTAGTAGTTTTGATTTTTACTCCCTAATCCTCTCAGCTTCTTGGCACCTTTTTATTTGCTTGACTTTTCTCAGCTTGCCTATGTCAGGTATAGTGGTGTTGAGTGGAGGGATTGCACACCACCAAACACACTCCCAGCAGAGTGCCACGGAGCAGAGGGATGCTGCTCCTCGCCGTGTGCATCCTGGTTGAAGCATGAGCTGATTCTGCTGTGCACCCAGGGTTGCCTTCATTTCAGGTGTAGAGCCCGGGGTATTCAGCCTGGTCACTCGTCACCAAGGGCAGGTGGCCATGGGAGGAGCTGGTGGCCACAGGTGGAGCTGATAGGCTGCTGACTCCTCTCTTCTGTACTGCTGAATGCAGAACACAGCAAACCAGGAATTAAATACACAGGTAGGAGGGGAGCCCTTTTCCAGAGCATCATTTGAATGTCCAGTGCAATCCACATAACTTTGAAAAAGAAGTTATTGCCCTCCTTCCATTTACTGCCCCTACCACATCCCATCATTAGGTGAGCAGTTTTGATTTTTTCAAAGGGTGCATTTGACAACATCGTTTTCAAAGAAGGCCTGAGATTTTAGTTATGTTTGTGACCAAAGTGTGCTTTTTTTTTTTTTTCTTTTGCTACTCTAGTATTAAAGCTCAAGGACTTCCACTATATATTTTTAACTGTATAGTTCATCTCTTCTTGCTGACCTTCAGTGTGAATTTTATTTGAAGGAGTTTCAGGCAGTGGTGCTCTGTCTTTAATAACACTCTGTCTTTAATAAGATAGGACATTTCAGGTTTTGCCTGTTGAGCCCACAGACCTTGGCAGCACATAACTCTGGAAACTGAAACTTAATTTTCTGACCCTTCAGCTTAAACTCAGATCCTCAGAGTTTTAAGGTGAAGATACTGGGCTTCTTGCTTTATTGCATCTGAAATAGTTGCCTCTTTCCTTTGCCAACGGTGCAGCAGG